ACAGCACCGTTTCTCTGTCTTTCCCACAACACATATTCTGAATTTATTCACGAGGAAACATAAAAATCAAATTGGGGGACATTTTATAAAATGCTTAGCCAATATTCAAGTGAACTGTCCTAGATTAAAGAAGTCTTTAATCTACATGGAAGCCCCTCCCCCACCCAGAAGAATGCACTTCAGAGGACAGTACTGAAGCTTTAGCTTGGGGAGAGGGGCCCGTCTGATCAGAGCACACAGGGGGAAGGAGAGTGAGTGGAACACATCCTGGTCCACCAAGTCCAGAGGACGATATTCCTGCTCAGAGAAGACAATGCACAGAGAGGACCACAGGGCAGCCCCACCATGAGACACACACACGACGTCCCTCACTGACCCATAGCACTACAGGGGACAACACTGGAGACACAATGTGGGGATTGTGCCCAATCTGACCCCATCACACTGGGCCGAAACACTAAGGGAACACAACAGAGCAGCAAGGGGAGCAAAGTGATGAAATCCCCGGGGAATACCAAAACTAGATTTTGGGGCTAGGGTAGGGCACCCCATCAGACTGGACTGGAAAACACTCCTAAAGGTCAACAAACAGACCTGGAACTATTTATAGGCTTTTCTTTTTTTGGTTGTTTTACATTGTTTTGGTGCTTATTATTATCTCTGCATGTTTATCTACCTAAGATAGGTGAGATAAACAATCCAGAGGAGAAAACAATGGGATCAATAGTTGGGGGTGGGGGGAAAGGAAGTAGGTGTTAACAAACCCAGGGACAAGTGAATAAGTGATCTCAAATCGATGGTGAGGAGGGCATAGGATGCCTGGTGGGGCCTGATCAAGGGCAATGTGTACCGAGAGGAATTACTGAAACCGGAATGAAGGTCAAACATGATAGTGGGACAAGAGGAAAGTAAAAGAAACTAGAGGAAAGAACGAGGAGGCAAAGGACATTTATAGAGGTCTAATTATAGGCATGCACATATGTAAATATATTTACATATGATAGGGAAATAGACCTATGTACATATATTTATATGTTAAGTATTAAGGTAGCAGACCGACATTGGGCCTCTACTCAAGTACTCCCTCAATGCAGGAACACTTTGTTCTAATAACCCAGCATTCTGTGATGCTCACCTTCCCGATATGATTGCTGAAGACAAAATGGGTGCATAAGCAAACGTGGTGAAGAAAGCTGATGGTGCCCGACTATCAAAAGATATAGCAGCTGGGGTCTTAAAGGCTTGAAAATAAACAAGCGACCATCTAGCTGAAAAGCAACAAATCCCACATGGAAGAAGCACACCAGCCTGTGTGATCATGAAGTATCGATGGAATCAGGTATCTGGCATCAAAGACCCAGAACAAAATCAATATGAATGAGGGGGGAGTACAAAGTGGTGACCCAAAGCCCAACTGTAGACAATTGGCCATCCCCTTACAGAAGGGTCACAAGGAAGAGATGAGCCAGTCAGGGTGCAGTATAGCACCAACAAAACATACAACTTTCCTCTAGCTCCCCCCCTCCCAACTTCTTTATTTTTTTTCTTGTTCAAAAATTTTTTAATCGTTTTATTAGGGCTCATCACAATCCATACATACATCAATTGTGTAAAGCACATTTGAACATTCATTGCCCTCATCATTCTCAAAACATTTTCTTTCTACTTGAGGCCCTGGTATCAGGGCCTCATTTTCCCCCCTCCCCCTCCCTCATGAACCTTTGATAATTTATAAATTATTTTGTCTATCTTGCCCTGTCCGAA